AGACTGAAAATAGTTATATATGTTTTGTTGGTACATACAGTCATTTTAAACAGTATTGGTGCCGTCCGGTGTTTTGCTTTACACATTTTTTTCTGCTATTCCTTCTATCTTTCTTCACATTTTCCATCTTTTAATCCACCGTCTTCTTTTTTCCCTATCTTTTTTTTTTTTTTTTTTATTTCCTTCTTTCCCAATTCCAAAATTTTACACACACACACACAGACACATTTAGAACAAAGAAAGAATAACTGAAATGTTGAGAACAAAAATTACTGTTTAATAATTAAAGAACTGATGATCGCTTCTCAGTTTTATCAAACTAAACATCCTCAATGATCCGTTTTATTGGTCTCAAAACAAAAACAAAAAAAAAAAAAGCAAGTAAAATCTTTTTGAAGATAAATGACTGAATAAGAAATGCTAATAGCAGTCATCAGAACAGAGTGCTACCAAACTGTTCAAACAGTTATTTTTTGTTTCGTCTTCTATTCTTCCTTTCTTTTACAGACAATCAAAAAGTAACCGTTAACAACAGTCGGTTTATAGTTGTGTTGTCATTTTGCAATCTTTTATCTTCATTCCTTCTTCCATTCTTTCAACCAGTTTTTTTTTTTTGTTTTGTTTTTCCTTTATTCTCAACAATATTTGTCTAATTTTCCATAAAATTTAGTCTTTCTAAAATCATATCGTACAGCGAAAGTGTTATTTTTGTTTTTTTTTTTTTTCATCAATTCTAATAGTTTTTTAATTAGAAATAAATCTGAAACTTGGTTTTTGGTGTAGTGTACTGGTTATGTGCAAGTTTTTCCACAAGAAATATGCAAAAAAAAAAAAACAAAAAACAGGGTGAAAAAAAAAAAAAGCACTTGTCATAGAGAAGCAATAGAAAGAAGTGTAAAATGGTAATTACAATAGCAAATAACTTGATTACCGTACTGGCGAAAAGATAAGTTTGGTTTTTTGAAGAAGAAATAAATACAAAAAAACCAATGTTATAGTTTTTAACTGGTTTTTTTTTCCTCTTATTATCACCACTTTTTTTTTTTGCCTTTCTCAGACTAATCATCGTTAAACAACAAAGTGTGTTGTTTTTTTTTTACCTTGAATTTTTGTAACAAAATCTTAAGAAAGGTGCAAAAAAAAAAATAAAATGTATGCAATAAAATAATTGTTTGTTTTCATATCATTTGAAAAAAAAAAAAGTTCTTTTTTTTCTAGTTAACCAAAAACAGAAGAAACAGAAAAATACGAAAGACAACCTGTCAGAAATAAAGATTTTTTTTTACCTGCAAAGAAGAGAAAAAAAAAAAGGAAGAAAAATGATCAAATCTGAACAATCTTCTCAAAAGTTGTTTTTTTTTTCCCCCTCTTTATTTTGGAGCAAAAATAAAATAAACAATTCTGCGCTATTCATTTTGAGGCACAGATCATTAAATTGTAAAGGAAAAAGAACTGAAAAGAAAAAAAAAAAAAGCTAAGATTGAAAACTATATTTAATACTACTGACTTTTGATACTAAAAAGTTCATTCTGCTAGAAATATTTTGCTTTATCATCTTTTTTTTTTTTTTGTCTATCAAATAATTTGCTTAAAAATTATTATGATACTCAAATAGAATACCAAAAACAACAACAGTACAGAACAGAAAGAACCAAACTGAAGTGAACGAAAATGCAAAACAACAGATCCGTATCCAACAGATACGTATTGGTATATTGAAGTTGTGATAAATCTGTTAACAATAACTGTTGCTATCAGTTGTTAGCAGTTTTAATAGTGAACAAAAAAAACAGCGCTGCTAACAGTTGAACAGATCTGTTGGAGAAGTAAAATTTTTTCAGTAAAATTTTTAAAAAAAAATTGTAGTGGAAAGGAAAGGGAGAAGAGGAGAAGGGGAGAAGAGGAGAAGGGGAGAAGAGGAGAAGAAGAGAACTGATAAGGAAAAAAAAATACAAAAAAAAAATTTTTTTCACAGATTTTATCAACCATAAATTTAAATTTGCAGTATTGTTTTGAAAAGGTTTTCATTTCCTTTCTTGTTAGTTTACAAAAAAGTAAAAAAATTTTGACATTATTTTGCTGCCACAATACTGTTACTGTTCACCAAAGTTGTCGTATGACAAATCATTATTTAGATGATGGTTAGGAAATAATTTTTAGAGAAAAAATAAAAGTAGTCCAAAAATAGATTTTTTTTTCTTCAACAACGATACAGCTGTTTATGTTTCTTAGACAGTAAAGTGATCTCCGATTTAGCAGAGAATTGTACAACCGACAACTGTTGATATTTGTATGCAGTTTGCTGTCTACACAACAATTAGTCGTACATCAACAGATATGATGCTGTTCAAAACAAAAAAAATTTATAGTCCAAGAAAGAGCATTTACAAATTGTCCTTTCCTCTTCTTCTTCTTCTTCTTCTACATATAATAAAGTTAATGAAGAAAAAAGAAAGTACAATTACTTATATTTTTATTCTACAAAGTTTTGAAGTTTGTCAAAAGTTGTTACAGTAAATCAAATAATTATAGAAAATTTTACCGCAAATGATTGGTGTAAATGCTCTGATAAACAGTGTTTAAAAGTAAATTTTTAACAAATCAGAGTTAAAACCATAAAATGATTAGTGACTCTCAACTTTTTTAGCGTTCAGATCCAATCTAAAATTTTTTTTTGATTAGTTAACGTTAAGTTTTTCTCGCCATTCTTTCTTGCCAAATTTTTTTTTTTTATTAATTGCTTAACAAAAGATCAACAGAAATGACAAAACAAAAAAAAAAGGCTCTGAATTGACTTTATTAAAAATACAACTGTTGCTCTTAACTATTGTTCTTTCTTTTTTTTTCCTGCAATATCTCTTGACAGTTTTGGAAGCAAAAAAAAAAAAAAAATATTATCGTGAAAACAGTGTCCTCGAAAAAAAAAAAAAAAAAGAGTAAAGTAGTGCTTTGTAAATTAAAGCAAACATTTGTTGTTTAATCATAGCTAAAAAAGTTGCAAAAATTATATCTTATCCAATGACCAATTAATTTCATTTACTTCACTTTTTTTTTTTTTTTTTTTTTTTTTTTTTTT